GCTTGATTTCTCTGAATACAGTTCTTTTGTAGATTTGATTTTGAAACAATGTATTTCATATAGTTATAAAAAAAAACACTTTTAAAGGCAATCCCTAAATAAGGAAAGTAAAATGGAACAGAGGAACCTCACTGTACACTGAAATGGTGGCATAACCACACAGAGAATCATTCAAGTGACTTTAAAATATAGTCATTTTACTGTATATCTCTAGTGATAGAAGGACCCAAAAATAATTGCAAAAATCTTAAACTATTTTCAGTAATCATATGGTTCGTGACAGTATTGGTACTGTTATTCTAAGGCTATTTCGATAAAGCAGGAATTATTATGCTGTATCACTGATAACCAAGATTTGCAGTATGGAGAAACGGAGATGAGAGAAAGATCTCAAGGTTAAACCTTTAATATTGAATTCGAATTGGAAATATCAAGCATACGTTCGTGATATATTGTATCTATTAAATATATGAGACATATAAATACATAAATAAATTTGCACGTTCTCCCTAGTTCACTTCCCACTAAACAGAACCAAGGCTTATTGAAGAAATGGCTGATTCCAGATCAAAGGCAGGAAATGTACAAGATAGACCTGGTACTATTGAAGACCACTGAAGTTATGTCAAAAAGATTCAAGAACCAATGTGAAGAGGCTAAAGATAGGGCAACTTGAATATCATTAATAATAACTGCAAGTGATTAAAAAATGTCAAATGTTTTAATCCCATAAATTCAAAATGTACTCACCTGTCCCTAAAAAAACTCCAGAAACAAATCTTATTGGTTACTTTTGGAGGATGCTAGGGAATCACTTCTTTATTTTGAAAACTGGTCAATAAAAGGAAAAACTGTAACATTTACTCTTCTTTTCCTGGAAGAACTGCATCTCAGGATTGCCAAATGACTGTTGAGGAAAATTTTCTCTTTCTAGCAACTAAATGCAGAAGGAATGACAGAATTAGAATATAACCATTTTGCAATCCAAAATTATGAAATAGTGGATCTAGGAAATAATCATCAATGGATGTGAACATCCAAAAGAGAGAGACAACCAGAGATTTCCTGACCTTTTTGATAGATAACACATACCGCTACCTGGGGAATATTATTACAAAAAATAATAGTTGAATTTGATTAAGCCTATATCTACCAAGTTATAAGAAATGCAATGGATAAAGAAGCTAACCATTACCATGAGGATTCAATGACCAAAACCCAGGCTGTTAGAAACTCTAAAGGACAAAAACCCAGCTTCTTGAACAAATGAATTGTAATTAGAGAGAGAAGAGGGGAAAAAAAGAGAGAGAAAGACAGAGACAGACAAGTAAATGGAAGGGAAACTACAGATTTAAAGAGATTTAAGAATCACAACAGCTATTTGCATAATATGGACCTTATCTGCATTCTGATTTAAACAACCTATAAAAACACATATTCTCACTATAGACTTTGAAGCAATTTGGGAAATTTGAACACTGACTGGATATTTAATACCCTTAAGGAATTACTGTTCAATTTTGGAGTACTATAATGGTATTATGATTATGGCTACAAAACGAAGGCCTTAGTTTTAGAGATAATGAAGTATTTATGGATGAAATGATAAAATGTCTGAGATTGGCTTCAAAATAATCTGATAAGGAGGTAGTAGATCACATACAGATAAAACTAGGTTAGCTATGAATTGCTAGTTCTTTAAGCTAGGTGATGGGAACTATTCTCTCTATTTGGATAATTAGTAGGACAATCAAAAAAGTGAATTTAAATACAAAATTAAATGAAAAGGAAAGTTTGGCAATCATTATGAAAAAGTAGAAGGACTTGGCAAATGCCATGCATATATCACAGACTGGATTGCCGAGGCAAAACAAACACGTTCTTCGGGAGAGTGAGCATTTACAAAATAGTGGTCACATCTCCTCTAATTGTTTCTTCCCTGCCTCACTGGTAAGACAGGCTAGGATTGCCCACAAATGCCTCCTGACACAGAGGACACAGTCGTCACAGGCTGACTCTCCCAGAGGAGAATACATCCCGGCAAGATCCAGACACAGCCACCGAATGAAAAGGGCTACAGCAAGGGTGGGAAAGCTCCAGCTCCGGGCAATAGGATCCAGCCGGGGCCCTGCCCGTGGCTACGCGAACCTGCAGGACTTTAGAGCTTCCCCACGAGTCTGTGCGAGTGAAGCAGCACGAGGACTGATGTGCTGTCGACAAAAATGGGAAAGAAACCTTTTGATGGTTAAAGACTAGAATTTCATATTGTTCATGTGGTTATTTTTATTTATGCTATTTCCTGGCATTATTATACATTTTAAGTAATAGCATTAAAAATCTCCCATCCACGCACTAATCACTCCCAACTGTGCTTAGCTTCCAAGATCAGGCAAGATTAGGCACATTCAGGATGGTATGTCTCTACACAATAATATTAAAATTTGATTTAAAAAAATTCAAATATTTTTAAAGTCATTTTTAATGCCTACAAAGGAATAATTAGCAGAGCCTGAACTATGAAAGGAAGACCAGGAACTGTGAACAAAAGAGGTTCTGAATCTAGAAACATAAAAGTAGGCTTTGAGACTCACGATGACATTATTTTAGTTTTACTTTTCTTTTTCCTACGAAAATCTAGAGTTTGTATCAGTGGTTCTCAAGAGAGGAGTGCACATTTCACAGGACATAGGAAGGAGTTAAGAAGTACGCATCTACAATTTAAAAATAATCCACATGATTTGACATATCTACGCCCGGCTAGAGGACCACTCCTTTCTGGGAGGTCCCCATGGAGTGGCTAGCCAAGGCCTGTTGCTCCCAAATTGTGCCTGAAATAATCGACACGGACAGCTGACCGTTGCTGTTTTAAACAGCACCCTAGCTAAGCAGAACTGCAACATCAGACACAGGGTAATGAGACCCCCCTGAACTCCCCGACCACTCACACCACTGCCCAGCGTGGGGCAGCTGTCAGCTGTGAATATGGTCCCAAGGAGGGCCGGGAAGGTCCCTCTAAGGCCATGTGCTGGCAAGTGCAGTACACAGCTGCCCGCCTGCTCCACTGCTCCATTTGACTGAGGGACGACGAGAGACAGGCAGACGATTGCAGTGCTCTTTGCAGTGAGCATCACAGAAGAAGGCTTGAAGGAAAGTGTCTGACCAGACACCAAAAACACTTCCTATGTCTCTGTAATCTTCTTTCGTCTCCTGACATGTCTGAGCCTATTACGGCTTCTGACAACGCTGACTAGCTCAGCTTGGACAGAACATGCAGACCAACAACAGCAACCCTCACTACAACCGATCCTCAGTTTCATTCTTGTAACAGCCTTTCATGCCAGACAGGCCTGCTTCTTTAGTAATTACAGTGTCCGCAAACCTGTTCTTCCTCCAGAAAGAAGGGGGAATTGATTTACGTACATGGCACCTTCCACGCAGCATGTTTAAAACTGAAGTGCATGGGGCTGGAGTGATAGCCAAATGCTACCCATCTTGTGAATGTGAAGGGTCTTGGTTTCTACGATCCTTCTCACTGAGGATTCTCTTAACTACACAATCACATACGCAGTGAGGCCTACAGTCTACAGAAGAACCAGGTGAAAAAGGTGCCCTTGCCACAACCCTCCATTACCATAGCTCCACATGGCCTACAGAATTAAAAGACCATAATATTAGGTAATGCTTCAAAAAATGTTTACTTTCAAATTACTTTAAAGTCACAAAACTATTAACCTTTATATTTAATATTAAAATTACATCCATAACAAAATTAAAGCCAAAATAATCATTTTAGTTGAGCTCTAAAAGCTCTCTATACATTGGAAAATTTCCACTCCTGCTACTTTATTAATATTACTCTCCCAAATTTCCCTAAATAAAGGATTATGTTTGAGACACGACAGGTGTTAGGAACATTTAGGCTATGACTTTTCAAAGAATTAGCAAACATTTGTGAGGTATGCTCATCTCTCCCGTTATAGTTATCACCATGCTTTTAGGACATACTTCAGTATGAACATGTGTCCCAGTATGGACAGAAATTGGGAAGGAGAGGAAACTTGAGTCCCTCTGTAAAGCCACAGAATTCTATTTTAGGTAACACAAGGCAGGGGCATCTTATCCCCTGCACCTGAACATACGGAGTCCCTTCCCAAAGGAAGCTGCAGTAACGGTACAATTCAAGGATCAACTTAGTCTAACTATGATCTTTGCAGGAAATGAATAAAAACCCATGGGCACAGGAAAAAGAGAGGCAGAACGATCAGTCTAGATGGGAAAAGCCACTCATGATATCCAGACTGTCAAGACGGGGGGACTGTACACAGTGGCCAGACTAAACATTACCTGAAACAAAAACAAAACACAACAGAAATCAACCAAACAATCAACTAAACCAGAATTAGAAATACCCTTTCCGAAGATCGGTCAGGCGGTATTTCTACCCAATAACTTAACTTTTGTAATGATAATTCAGTCATTCCATTTAAATTATCTGTAGGCATTTTCTTGAGGTGAATTTGGCTACACTGGGCAAATATGGATTCATACGTTCATGAAAAGAAGAAACTCCCCCAGCCGAGCACACCATTCATATCCAATCAAAGCCCAAAATGCCCGCATAGCCTTGGAAAGTATGAACATCCGATCAATACTGCACAGACTTCCTCCCCAAACTCACCTACCATCAAATAGAAAAACTCCTCGTGGAAAGGCTTTGCCCGACTATCGTAAGCATTCCCTACATAGCGAATCTGAATGAATCACTAAAATATTTGCAATTCTTAACTACCAGTGTAACACTTATATTCATTTTTAAGGTTTTCTGGAATTATTATTCTGACTACTTCTAAAACTGTAAGCCATCCCCTATGTCACTCAGCCATATGGCATTCAAATCAACCAGAGTCCTTAGAGCTGATTAAGATGAGTTAATGGAAAAACAAAATATTTGAAGATAAAATATCTAAGTATACACACAAAAATGTAACTGCAATACTTACCTATCAGTCCCTTCTCGAGATTGAAGGTTTTGTTTGTAAACATACATTCAAAAGCCACAATGTGAAAAATCTTGTTCACTGTGTTGTGAGTCCCAACAATTCGAATATACCTGAGGGTAAAAAGAAAAGAAGATCTGTTGAAAATGAGCTTCCATTACAACCAATCCAAGGATAACAAAATAAGACACATTTAAACATGCAGTGTATGAGGAGATGGACTAAAGGAGACTTTGAACTTGACTTCAGACCCTGCACCTGCTCCTTAGCGAAGCTCCAACTGAGCCTGGAAGGATTACGGCAAAATTAGGGAGCTGTCACTTCCTAGAGAATTAAGTATTAAATAAAACTTAGATTGTTTTACTTAGAAATCAAACCAGGTACTGTTCAGTTCAACCCTTGAATGTCAGTACAATTATATGTCCCTAAGGTATCTACACTGGAGAGTGACAAACAGCTTCTACCCTCGCTGAATGGTTAGGAACGTGTCTGGGCACAAGTACACAAATGCAGGCAAAAGCAAATGCTTTCCAGGTCCACGGAAGATTTCATCCACTGCAGACAAATGCATGAAATCAATATTGCTTTCTTTTTTAAAAGGAAAAATCCACAGAAACTACTGAAAACTACTCACAGTTTCTTATTTTAACATTGCTCCCCAAAACTTGTTAGCAGGTTAACCTTACATACTCATGCCAGCCCCCTCACTTGACTGCTGGGAGCCTTCTCCCGACCAGAGGAAGTGATCTGCAGAGGGCCCAGCCTGCTCCGCAGCCTTGCTTCTGGCCACATGAGTCTGGCGTCCGCACACAGTGCAGAGTTTCACAGGGCAGGCCTGGAGCATCCTGGCCTGTTCGCCCTCTTCACCTCCCTGGAGGCTTCGTCTCCAGCAAACCAGCATTAACCTTGGAGCAACTTGCTCTCTTGGCTCTCCAAAGGGACCTGACAGTTCACAGGTTAGTGAACAGACAAACTGACTCTTCTGAGCATCACACAATTCCACGGGGAATGTGCCACACACTGTCTTGCGGAATTCAAAGGAAGAACCAGGAAAAATAACTAGATTAACTGATAATGCTCTTTCGAATTATGAACTATGCACTCTGAGGGATAGGGTATAGTAAATGGACAGATTTCAATTAGGCTATGACAGACTGGGAAATGTTTTAGTAATATCCTCCCCTCTGCTGTGTAAAACAACCTTCAATTTAGATGATATAATTTTACTTCTGAGTTAATTGCTGTTCACTAATTCGATAATTTCCTTACAATTCTCATCACTCCAAGTTAACTGTATAATGTAAATGCCGATTTAGGAAATTCACATTAAGGAGACTATATTTGGGGTTTTCATATCATGGCCATTTTCCCTCCTGTTTCTTCAAGCCTGAGTCTCATGGCATTCCCTGAGTACCTCATTTAGCCATCTGCTCCTTGACGCGAGCTGATCACTCATCTTCATAACCAATATTAAAGCCTTCTCCTGGACTGGCTGTTCCGTGTGCTCACTCACACCCACTGCAAGGAGACACCCCTCCTCCTGTGCTGAGAATCAGGGCAACTGCTGCAAAAACTGGAGCCCTCTGGTGAAGCGGGAGGTTGGCCCGAATCTCTCGAGCCCTCGAGGCCGACAGAAGGTGCTGATTTTACTGGGTTTGGGTGGGTGGGTAGGTTCATTTAAAGTAAGTTCTTAATGGTCTGGGTAGTACAGATTGTGTTGTTCTTTACTGTTGGCAATGACAATCTCCCTGGCACTTTATGGAAGGGAAGGGGTGTGTTAAACCAGGCACCTTGGTCTGAATCTAATTTTGTCCCTATCTTTAAATGAGTTCGCCCACAGGAACGCACCCAGCATAGCGTTTTCAACTGTACACGGCCGTGACAGCCTGAGTGCTGCTGTCTGCAACCTTGGAGGGAACAGAGGGAATGTGGTTTAGTGGAATTTGATCAGACCATTTTCCTATTCTCTAGGTCAAGTCTCTACCAAAGGAGACACAGCTCTCCTAACGTGCACAAAAGAGCAAGGAAGTGACTAACAGGGCCTTTCCCCAGTGGCGATTCTTAAGGTTAATATAGTCCAGGCTGACCTTCGGGGATGCAGTAAGGTTCCTTCTCTCCTTTTCTTTCTTTTTAAAACATTATCTAGGCCGGGCGCGGTGGCTGACGCCTGTAATCCTAGCTCTCTGGGAGGCCGAGGCAGGCGGATTGTTTGAGCTCAGGAGTTCGAGACCAGCCTGAGCAAGAGCGAGACCCCCGTTCTACTAAAAATAGACAGAAATTAGCTGGACAACAAAAAATATATGTAGAAAAAATTAGCCGGGCATGGTGGCGCATGCCTGTAGTCCCAGCTACTCGAGAGGCTGAGGCAGAAGGATCGCTTGAGCCCAGGAGTTTGAGGTTGCTGTGAGCTGTGATGACACCACTGCACTCTAGTCCGGGCAACACAGTGAGACTCTGTCTCAAAAAAAAAAAAAAAAAACATTATCTAGAACCAGGTTTTCCAAGTTTAGATATCAGTCATTTCCTAAATTTTACACAGTGCAAATATCAGGAATGGGAGAAAATATGCAAGCTTCCCCTTCCTCATCCCCAGTTATAAGCAACTGAAAATAAAAAGTTGTACTGGAATACATTTTACAGCCTTAACGATAATGTTTGTGATAATAAACAAAATAATACATATGGTTGGAAAAGCACTGAGAGATGTCTCCAGACAAAAAGTTCTATATAAAAGAAGATAATGTCATCTCTGCTACATAATCCTGAGGTCAAATTAGCAATTCACCACTGCACATCACAATTTTTGATTAGCCTGTTACATGTAATACTCATAACAAGTTTAATTATTCTAGTTCTACCATCCTTTCTAAGTCTCTATAAAATTATGGCATAATTTACAAAAATGGCATAGAGTCCTTACTCAAATACACATTTTAAAAAACAGTAACATCAAAAGAAAGAAGCCAAGCTCCTTTTTCCCAAGCAAGAAGTTGTAAATATCCTGCACTTCTTCCCCACACTGAAGATCTAGAAATGGCAAATAGGCTTCAACTAACAGCCCAGCACCAGCGACTGGCAACAGCAGCCTGGAGCACAGAATGCAGAGGCGCCGTCGGGCTCAGGGGAGAGAGCGCCCTGACCCACGAGCAAGGACCGGAGGGGAGGAGGCAGCCAGGGACCGTCCCTGATCAGGAGCGCATTTCCTTACAGGGGCTCACCCTGGAGCCGCCCAAAGGTAAAAGAGAAGTTATCACTACCCAAGTTATGGAAAATCCAGAGGATAGGGATGGGAGAGAGTCCTCCCTCTCTTTTTACTTCTTCGGAAAAACAAAGCAAAACTTGGTTCTGGGTCATAACACCTAAACAGGTGAAGCAGATACCACATTTTCTCAGTTACAGGAAATCTTAAATAACAGGTAAAGCTGAAGGTTTTCTCTTCCTTTTCAGCACCATCTCTCCAGTGCACGGTCAGACTCTGATTTAACCTGATAATAAGGGCAGTGGCAGCAAGTGAATTCATCAGTGTGTAGAGAGGAGAACTGCTGAAAAATATAACATACATCCTTTGTTCTCACAGAGGTCCTCAACAGCAGCTCAGGCAGCTGGAAGATAATTAAAACTTAAACGGTGCCGAGGAAGGCAGATAGGGAACAGATTGGCCATTTCTGATGGGGATGAATGCTGCCCACAGGAGCCCAGCTAAGAGTCTGTTTCCGATATTCTCCTCCCTTCTCTGTGTTCGCTGTCTTCCAGGGGACAAAGACTGGATACTGAACACCGCTCAGAACAGGATGCTTCAATACAGAAGCTTCTAGGAGCTATAAGATTATGGGTGAATGAGAGTCTCTCTTCTTTAATAAGATAAAACCTAAACCCTCCTAGGACGGCACTCTAAAACGGAAAGGTGTTGCAGAGTTTTGAAACAACGTGGACTTCACAGTCCAGGAGAATCGGGTTTGCAGCCCAGCTCCGTCGCTTAATTAGATGTGTCACTTAGGGAAAAAATGTTTTAAACCTTTTTGAACCTTAGTTTCCTCCTCTATAAAATGAGGTCAATATCACAAACTTCACAGGGTATTTAAATGAGAAAAGTACTTCAAATATCTAATACAATCCTTGGCAGAGGAGGATATCATTAAATAGAAAGTCAAGGGGTGGACTGCTGGATGCAGAATCTCTTGGTGTGGACTTCAAGAACGCTGGTTTCTGGAGAGTACGACAGTCCCCCTTTATCCAAGGCTTCGCTTTCCATGGTTTCGGTTACCAGTGGCACAGTATAGTAAGATACTATGAGAGAGAGAGACAGACACTACATTCACAAAACCTGTCTTAAAGTACATTGTTATAATTGTCCTATTTTATTGTGAGTTATTGTTGTTAATTTCTTACTGGGCCTAATTTATAAATTAAATTTTATCGTGGGTATTATGTATAGGAAAAACCACAGTATATATAGGAGTTGGTACTATTCACCGTTTCAGGCATCCACGGGGGTCCTGGAACGTACCCCCTGAGATAAGGGGGTCTACCGTATTACTGACTATGGATGTTAAAACGGTGCATCCATGAGGAGGCAGGTCGAGGAGCAGACTCCAAGAACATGGGCAAGGTCTCCTCCTTTCTCTTAGGGTACCTCAGTATGGGTACCATGGGCCACAGAGAGCAAGCTACATTCAGGATGTAGATTACCTGGCTCTACCTGCTTTAATCCCCTATTTAAAAAGTTCTTGATCTATCTTACCTATGCATGAGGAAGCAAGGGAAGAATCTTTTGCCCATATTTGGGTTTAAAATTTAAAGTCCCTCCTCCCCGCCAAGCTGCCCTCCTTGGCAGAGAATGTAAAACCCAGGGTCAGGGCCATGTGGTCCAACTAGCCATACTCACTGAAGAGTTTCTTTTTTGTGTAAACACCGGAAATTAGGAGTTTTAATTTATTAAGAAAAATACCATTTCCTTACAGAGAGACAACACAGTACTGTGAAATAAAGAAATTTTGCTTTGGAGATTTCAGTGGATTCCCTGGGAAAGCATAAACGCCTACTCTTTATCTTTCCATCATTTCTCATCAGGATGGCCGACAGATTTAATTTCCAGGTCACATACATCTTTAAC